GCACGCGAGGGTAATTGTACAACCCATTACAGGGCCGACCCAAATATTCATTTTGGGTCTATCAATGTGTTTTTGCAGGTGGACCATCTTCACAAAATTGTTCGAAATGTTTATTATGTTGATTTTTTTGGAATTCCTTAATTTAGATTTTAATTTGTTTTTTCACTTGGTTTTCTTGTATTTTGAGAAGGAATGCCTTCACTGGTGAGGTATTGGTTTGCCCCCTCACTTTTGTACCCTTCTATTATTTTTAATAAAATTCAGTAAATGTTCCCAGACACTTATCCCACTAAATAGTGGTTTACCCACCAGATCTAAAAAAGACAATCTATAACTTGTCAAGGTGTATGAGTTGCTTTGAACTCTGGTTGTTAATAAGACATGTATGATTTTGATATGAAAGTTTGCATTCTTCCCATGAACCGGCTATCCGTTTGGAACAAGCTAGCCACGTCACTATCATAATCTAGGACATTTAGATTTGATTAACACATGTGTTGTCTATAAGGATGACTCGCAAAAGATGCCACACATATTTTTCTTTGTCATTTTACATGCAAGATATGAGGATGTATGAATGAATGACAAAGCATCCGTCAAGAGATGACTACTCTGGCGAGCACTCTGAAATGGATCAAGAAGGCTTATATAATCACTGCTTTGATCCAAGGAAACAAGGATTGCTTTTTGCTACACAAATACACAATCTATTGGATATGATGGAGACGACGAATCCAAAAAGATTTGATGCTCTATCACACAAGGGAGAAGATGTTAGTACAAAATAAAGTATGTGTTATACAAAATTTTCTACATCTATCTCCATGAGATGATCTCCTTTATTTATTTTAACGTTGCTATTCCCATCACCCGATTTTGTGGGTGGTTCCTTCTAGGCATGCCAGTAGATTAGAGATATTTCCTTTTTGGGAAGCGATGAGACATATTCTCTAAAGATCACTATGTATATTCTTATACACAGTGTAAATGTTATTTTTGAGTGTTAATATATTTACAATTCATCAAAAAATAACATGGATGGAGGTTGTATTACTTAATACTACACCATCCAAAAAGCAAAGTGTCACCTTTTTTGTAAGTTTTAAAATCAAAATTTCATTTATATAAAAAGAAAATATGCATATGAAAGATTAACACTGTTAGGGCTGAGCACCGGTCCAAGACCGGACCGGACCGGAATCAGAATCACTCAAAAATGAGGACCGAAGACCAAACCTAAATTAAACCGGTCTAGGACCGGACCTGAAAATTCCGGGTCGGTCCGGACTGGACCGGTAAAGACCGGAATTGGATATAAAATGATTTCATCATCATAATTTGCTAAATGCATCATTCGAATAAATAAAAGAACTAGCTCCAGAAAAAACATAATCCATAAAAAACACACTTCGTATCAATCTAATTGATGTAAAAAACTAGAAGTCATAAAATGAAAACAATAAAATAATCCAAACTAGAAAAAATTAAAAGAGCAACGTGCATGACAACATGAGTCTTCAATCGTGATTCCAAAGTATGTATATTGATTGACTTCCTCCAAAGATTAAGACACAAAAATGGTTTCATCTTCTACTTTGTCCAAATCTGTAAATGAAGAGAATAATTGTTAAGGACACAAGAATGTATAGCACCGAATATGTTATATGTATATGTTAATGTATATCAGTATATTTATTTATTACCTTTTTCGAGTTTTTTCAAAATCCTCTAGACATTCTTCTACATCAACCTTGGCTTGACGTGTTGCTCCTCGAAGCCAATCTTGACCACATATAAGAGCTTGTACCATCTTGCATCAAAACATACAAAAAATAATTAAAATATAAATTCAAATCTCTAATTTTAACATGAAGTAATTTTTAATAAAAATGGAACTTTTACCTTGGGTGTCAATGAGCTCCTAAATTGATCCAAGTGGCGCCCTCTTGCACTAAAAGCCGACTCTGAAGCAACAGTAGATATAAGCATTGCTAGCACATCACGAGCCATCCGTGCAAGCATAGGAAATCTTATAGCATTAATTCTCCACCACGGTAAGATTTCTTTCTCTTCATGTTCTCCTCTCTGTTCATTCAAATATCGATCAAATTCACTTCTTATAAAGCTATTTGATCCACTCATTTGCCTCTTAACCTGCTCCTCAATGTTAGACATATACATCAATGATGTCCCCCCACTGATAGAAGATGGAATTGATAGTAAATCATTGTTTTCAGCTTGATCATCGTTCATGGGAGCATAAATTTTTCTATACTCGTCAAACATGCTATAAGAAAGTTCTTTCACTTGTTCTGCTAACTTTCCTCCCTTTTCCTCTCCATACATGCCACAAAGAGCAATTTTCACCCCTAAAAACTTAAAACTTGGATCAAGATTCACAGCCAAATATATCAGCATGTTCATTTTCTCGATAGCACCCCAATATTTGTCATACTTCTCCTTCATTTGAAGTGCCATTTTTTTTAAAATCAGCATCTTTACTTTTCACCCACTCATTCAGCAAACCATGTGTATGACCAATATGAAAGAAAAGGGAATTACTTGTGACATATAAAGATCCAGAAATATGATCAGTCAAATCATAAAACTCCTTTAAGAAGACAACAAGTTTTTCCACTAATTCCACTCTTCATTCTTTATAGGACCTAACTTGTCATGATCCAAATCTTCAGGGAGTTCTATGCGAGAGAACACATTCATGTACTTCAAAGCAGTTTCTAACATAGTGTATGTTGAATTCCATCTAGTAGGCATATCAAGAGTCAACGAAGATTTGCAACCAACCTTACACTTTTCAGTTTGTTCATTGAACAAAAGTAACCTTGCAGGGGAGTTTTTCACAAACTTAACAGCAACTCGAATTTTGTCAATATATGATACATGATCCTTCAATCCCTCCCACACTATAAGATTGACAATATGTGCAATGCATCTCATATGTAAATAATTCTCATCACTAATTCCACCACTTTTTTGCACCATGCTTTTCAAGTAAAGACATGCAACATCATTAGAACTTGCATTATCAACAGTAAAGAGCTTACTACCTAAACCCCAAGAAATCAAGCAATCCTCAACACCTTACCAATAGCTTCCCCCTTGTGACTAGAAATTGGACAGAAATTGATAATCCTCTTTTGCAATCTCCAGTGATCATCAATAAAATGTGCAGTGAGACATATAATTGATTCTCTGGATAGAAGTCCATGTATCAGTAGTCACACACACTCTTTGACATGATTTATTGAAGAAAATTTTCAAATTTACCCTCTCTTGAGCGTATAAACCATAACAATTACGTGCAATAGTAAACCGGGAGGAAATGTGAAATTCAGGTAAGGCAACAGACATAAAATGCCTAAACACAGGCTTCTCAACAAATCTAAAAGGCAACTCATCGATTATAGTCATATATGTCAATGCATCTCCTACTTCTTCCAAACTCACTACCTTGTACTTCAAATTAACTTCTTGTTAATTGGTTTCAGAAGGTTCAAAGGATAAGTGAGATTGTTTACCTTTACTTTTGTTAGCAGGATTCTTAGTGCAGGATTTCCAATGTCTGCCCACATTTTTTGATCCATTTTTATTAGAATCTGCTACAAAAGTTGCTCCACAGAAGTTGCATTCAGCTCTTTATCGATTTTCAACATCCGTATATTTAGTGAAGTCTGGCCAATACTCTGACGTCCTTTTGCTCTTCCTCAAGATGTATCGATGCCATCCTTTGGCTTCTTTGTTGGATGGTCTTTATAAGTGGGAGGTATGTCACGATCTTCAGCCGGTTGAGCATCTTGCATTTTCCCATCAAGATCATCCAATGATGGTTCTTCTTCTGCTTCATGCAAAAGCATAGCACGTTTTCTACCTTTCAACTGGGAGCTCATCTTTAACAAAAAATAATAATAAATAAATTGTAATCAACTAATATCTATAACTCAGTTATACGATAAACTAAAGAAAATAAACATGTGGGTTAAGATTAAGTGGCAGATTAATTGCAAGACATGAATGGACATATATGATATATGCATGTTACCACTTGCGGATGACAGGCTGCGTAGTCGAATAAAAGAATGAAATAGGTTAGGTTAATTAACTGCATACGTTACACAGTGTACACCGCCGCAAGTCTCTGGGCTTTTAGCTCTGTTCACGCATTTAGTAATTGTTACGTAGTATTATTAATAAGTGAAATTAAATTGTTTTTTAATTAATCCGGTCTAACCGGGTCAGACCTGTTTTTTCCGGGTTTGGACCGGACCGGACCGGAACCCTAAATCATAAAAGCAGTGGACCGGAGACCGGACCGATATACAACTTTCCGGGCCTGTCCTCCATGAAAGTAAGCTCGACTCATATCGCCGAATAAGCCACAGATAGTATTGACTCTAGAGAAAGGTGAAAAGCTAGGGAAATCCCTGTTCAAGTTTTAGCTTGATAGCATCGGAGTCAGTAATCCGGGGATAGATGGAGCGGTCCGGCCCAAACCGGTCCGATTCGGTCGATTTTCCGGTCTAGACCGGAATATGCTCACCCCGAAACACTATTCTAACTTTTTGATTGATTATACATGAAATAAGAGTTTAACTAATAACTAAAAGCAAAATTTTAAATACAAGGGGACTTGTTTGGAGGAGTATATGGAGATATTCATAGATATCTAAAGACAAATGTTGTTTTTGCACGTCAAATTGTACACAACATTTTACACGTCGGTCAAATTGTCTGTGCATAGACAATTTTTTTCGATTTGTGAAGATAATCGTTTTTCGCACTAATAATTTTTTCTGTCAATGACACAAGACGGTTCGAAATGCCCGCGACACCTAAATTGTTTATCACAGAAAAGAAATTATCAATGCAAAAAACTATTCTCTTCACAAAAAAAAAAATTATCCATACACAAATAATTTGATCTGGCCAAACAAACATGGGCCCTCCATTGATCCTGTCATATCTTATTTAATCAACTACCTAAATAATGTAGGCGCGGCCGCCACTAGTAGAGACATGTATCAGAAAAGCTGGGCATCTGTATAAAATTTGAAAAGGGTATTGTGGCGAATCGTCTGGCGGAGAATGGTTGAATGATCGGAAATCAATTACTCCGTAATTAATCATTAATTAGTTGCTAGATTTTCATTCTTTCCCCCGAACGCAAACCTACCCCGGATTCGCAGAACAGAACACCTGCCAGATTAGAGATTAGAGAGGTGTCACATTCCATAGCTGTTTCTGATTGTCGATCTCATCGAAACTCCGACAGTCGCAGCAAACTCATCGTTCAAGCTCAAATTTCTCAAAAGGAAGACGACGACAAGGGGGAACACTGTGGATTCATAGGCGGCTACTTCTTCTGATTGCTCGTTTGAGGTCATCCTACTGGCCATGCGACGCTGGTTGCCCGCTTTTGGCCTCTCCAGAGAGGACTTCTCCGATCAATATCTTCCCGGCTTTGACATCTCCGCGGCTTATTTCTTTCAATTCGTTTTGCGTACATCTAGCAATGACCTCAGATGCTCATGGCCCTAGCCCTAGAGGTCTTCTTTGCAATGCTGGCGCAGGGGCAGCTGCCGGTACTGCTGGCGTTTTTATGTTTTAGATACAACTCAATTTTAACTCTTTTCCCTTTAATTCTTCAATTTGTAATTTTGTTAATTTGCAGCGGCAATATCAATGCGTAACATCTGTTTTTGGCTGATTAGACTAGAGTTTCATATTTTGCAGGTGTGATTGCAGCTACCTTTGTATGTCCTTTAGATGTTATCAAGACAAGATTTCAGGTCCATGGGCTACCAAAGCTCGGTAGCTCTAACATTAGAGGTACTGCTTAGCTGCTGCAAGACTTAATTTTTCTTCAAAGTCACTTGAAAAGTAGGCAGATTTAGAAGTAAACGCCCTGTTATTGATGGAAGATCTTTTTTTTATTTGTTTGATCAGGGAGCCTTATAGTTGGGAGCTTAGAACAGATATTCCAAAGGGAGGGTTTGCGTGGGATGTACCGTGGGCTTTCTCCAACAGTTCTGGCATTACTTCCAAATTGGGCGGTATGTAGTCACCTCTTCTCTGTTTTTAATCAATATGCATTTATAATATCATTGTTGTGACGAGTGACTCAGTTTTGAGTTTTGTACACCTTCCTCTATCGTGGACGATATACCCAAGTTAACAAATTGTTATGCTCTTTGGTTTGGTGTGACTTTTAGAGGTTTGCTAACATATCATGCACTAGAAAAATTACTAGTTGCGCAGTATGTAGCTTTCTCTTGTACTGTCTGAACTGCTATGCTTCGTTCTTTATACTCTCTCTGGTGCTGACTGTACCAGACTTTAGCTATACTGTTCCATGTTGGAAGAAAATTAGAATGCCTTAAGTTCTGCATTGACAAGATTATTGATTTCAGTACTTAAGTTTGAACTTTTTTCGGTTCCTCAAATCAGTAATCTTGCTGCCTAAACTGATGTTTGTCCAACACTTTAGCTTGTGCAGTTGCGTGCTAAAGTATTCATGAAAATGTGTAATTGTGTATGGTATGGAGCAGGACATATAGTAGGGGAAGTACCTGTAATACTGCTAAACATTCAAAATAGGTCTAAGACTAACCTCTAAGAGTCTGAGTGAGATATGAAGAATCCTCTCTCCCTCGTTTTCATTAGTTTAGAAAATAGAGGTGATATGATTTGCTTCTTTCATGAGTTTCAAGTACATGAACAAAGAACATTATTGTTACTCATATCACTAATATAGCAATACAAATTTCAACATGAACATGCAATTCTTCTCCAAAACCAGGGATACTTGTTAAAATTCATTTTCACTTCAGATGGTGCAATGATTTCTAATTGTTGAATGCCATCTGCAGATATATCTGCTCCATTTAACTAATATGGAGCAGATATTTAAACTAACCAATTTTCCAGAGCTTAACAAGTTCAAATAGGAATACTTGTGTCACTTATGACTGAAGTGTCCAACTTTTTTCTTTTTGTCTGGTTTATATGTCAGGGTAAAACATGATATTACCCCCATAATTTTGTGACTTTAAGAATTAAGTTAATAACTGAAATGATTCAAATTTGCTGATATCTTTTGCAGGTGTATTTTACAATTTACGAGCAGCTAAAGTCTTTACTTTGCTCCGATGGTCAGTTTTTTTTTCTTTTCATAAAAAGAGAGTAGTCTGTTTGCTTTTCCAGTACTGAATATTTGTTTTAGCGGTTACTTAGATGAAAAGCATCGACTTTCTGTTGGTGCTAACATGCTTGCTGCCTCTGGTGCCGGAGCTGCGACTACAATTGCAACAAACCCTCTTTGGGTCGTGAAGACTAGACTTCAGGCACGTTTCTCTCATTCCAGTTTCATTGCCTTATTTGGTTTTGTCACATTTCCTGACAAAGAAGATAAACATCTTTGGTGCATAATGAAATGAAGCTATTTACTATTCTCCTTAAGCAAACTGAGTTTAACTACACTTCATTTAGAGCTTAATTGATTATGAAAAAGAATTAGGATTTCTAAAAAATCAGAATGCTTATATTCTTTGTACAACACTTTTATATATATTCATCTTTTTTATATTATCTTTTCATAATAGCTTATCTTTTTATCTTTTTTCCTTCTTTTCCTTTTGGTTGTGATATCATGTATCGATTCATGTTAGCCGACCCCAATATCTTTTGGGACTAAGGCTTGGATGTTGTTGTTGTTGTTGTTGTTGGTTGTAATATATCCTTTCTTCACAATGCATATCAATATTCTACTTTAAGATTGAAAAACTGAAAGCTCTGTTCTGATCTTCTGCAGACTCAAGGAATTAAAGCTGGGGTGGTGCCATATAGGGGTACACTATCAGCATTAAGGAGAATAGCTCTCGAAGAGGGCATCCGTGGGTTGTATAGGTTAGTTGTCTGTCCTCCCCCCATCCCCAACAGGTCATGTTTGGGTATAAGCTTTGACTAGTCATAGATGGTTATTTATAGGCAGATACGGGGGGGGGGGGGGGGGGGGGTCTTAAAACACTCATCTTTTTGGGTTTGAAGAAGTATTCTTTGAATTATGCATTAGACTTCAGTCGGCTTGTTAAGCTTACTGCTTATGTTATTTATTGTCGCTAGTGGTCTTGTTCCTGCTCTTGCTGGTATCACTCATGTAGCTATCCAGTTTCCAACATATGAGAAGATCAAAATATACCTGGCTAATCGAGGTACTTGATCTTTCATTTTTTCCCCCTGATTTTCATAATACACAGACTATGCTTGTCACTCTTGAAATGGAAGGCAAAGAAAAATATTTTTCTAATGTTTAGTTTTGCTTAGCTTTGTAGAAATACATTCAAATTTTATCAAACTTTGTTTTCATTCACATTTAATTAGATTTCTTAGAAATTATATGACAAAAATATTTAAACAAAATGAGTTTGAAGCATTTTTTTTTTGTTTTAATTTCCACCCACATTCCCCCCTCTGTTCTTCTCCATATATTATTTTGCATGCTTTTCTCAAGTTCCAATCGGATCTATAGGGGCATAGGTACCATTTGGTGCCAGCTACCCATTGACAGATATTCTTATAGCCAGGATAAGCACCAGATTAAGTGTCATAAGCAGTCTGTGTGCCTCTTGAGTGCTACTGTCCTGATGGAGGCTAACATATTCTGTTACATGATTCATGAATATGTGCCATCGAAAAGGATAAACATTAACATTCCTTGATCTGGTGATGTGTTCAGATAAAAGCAGTACGGACAAACCCAGTGCCACCAATGTTGCTGTTGCATCATCACTTTCAAAAATATTTGCATCTACACTAACATATCCACATGAGGTAGGGAGTGTATGAATAAAATCATGCCTGTTGTTCCTTCATCATTTGCTTTGTTCTGGTTATTTCTTTGGTGCTGGATAAATAAATAAGGTGACTTCTGATGATGCTTTTGTTTTCTGTTTTTTTTTCCACTTTATTTTAGACATAAATTTTGTGTTTGTCTGTATATTTTAATTTTGAAAACAAAAGATAACAGATTATTGAAACCACAATGAGGGCCTCACAATTTCGATCATTGTGTGACTTTCATTGTTTTCTGAAATGTGAAACATGCTGATTCTGGTATTACTTGGTTTTTCTTTATAATAATCAAAACTGCATAATCATGTAGACAAAACACATTTACCCAAACATGTTTATATTTTTTGAATACGAAACACAAAAAAAAACAAGAAGTTTTAAAAAGGACACCTATTAACTAACCAAATGAACCAACCCTAACTAATTAGAGATTGCAGTATTGAATATCCAGTTATATTTATGTGGTAGGTTGTCAGATCGAGGCTTCAAGAACAGGGCTACCATTCTGAGAAACGTTATACTGGGGTCATTGACTGTATTAGGAAAGTTTTCCAACAAGAAGGTGTTCCTGGTTTTTACCGAGGATGCGCTACCAATTTACTGCGGACCACACCAGCAGCTGTAATTACTTTCACCAGTTTTGAGATGATACACAGCTTTCTTGTTACAACAGTGTTCCCTCCTGATCCTCACCCACAACCACTATTGTGAGCTGAAAGGATCTATTGAAGTCGTGCATTGGAAATTACTGGCAACGAGTTCATAGGTTGTGTATCTATGTACCATGAAAATCCAAGGTTGCAAGTTGCACCTCCAAAGAACAGAGTAAACACACCAATGCCGATACATATTGATGATGATGATAAATGTGACAATTTTATTTTTTGTTGGAATGTTTACTACTCCGTAATAAAGAACTCTTTTATTTTTGCTTTTGATGGTGTGTATTATTTGCAAACGAATATTAGAGAGCATCAGAGCAATTGACCAAAGTATTCACAAATTGTAAGATCACCAACCAAAATCAAGTTATATTCTGTATCAAGTTTCGCAAAACTTTGAATTTTTGGGGTATTTACAGATAAGTTCTGTAAGTTTTACATAATCATCTATTCCACTGGGCATGAGTTTGTTAATTATAACTCCGTAATTTATAACGAATGATCTGCATGGAATGAGGAAATAATGCATAACCAAAACTTCGGTTAGTTTTGGTTCTTGACTTAAACTTCTATTATAATGGCAAAAATATGAGCTCTACCTCTACACCTTTAGAAGACAAAAATAAAATATGACTAATTTTCACTTTTTGCAAAAAATGTGACTAAACTTTGTTTACTTAATTTGTAATATGTATTTTTTTAGATTCTACTTCCACGGTGGCTTTAGCCGCATCTTCCAGCGGTCGTCGTCGGAAACTGCCGCCGCTTGAAAACTTCAGATTCTTTTAATTTTTTTTTTTTTTTAATTTTCACCTAGAAATGTTTTCAAACCGTCAGTCCGTCACCTTGAGTGTGCACTGCGCATGCACAAAATAAAGCCCCACTCTTATATAGCATTTCGAGGAGGTGCATGATATTCTGATATACACATGTTAGTTCAAAACTTGCACTCCTTTATAGTAGTGCTTCCCCTAGAAAGGACACGCTAAAAATTCAATTTATTTTTAATCCAACCACAATGAAGTACATCCATACACAAAAAATACTCGTCTTATGAAGAGCCAATTAATTTTCATGAACATCTAAATAAAACTCAATAAACCTAAGTTTAATTATATCGACTTTGAGTTCATCTCTTGAACAAATTCAAAGTAAAATATTACAAAGACATTGCTATGAATGATTTAAGGCATCGTTATTTGATGTGAAGGATGGCAATAGTGTATGATGCACTATTTAAAGTTTTTTTTACTCCAGGGGGCTGGAGGCCTGGAGTAATCAGAGCTGAAATTCACCCAATTGAGTTTCAAACCCTTAAGTGCCTAGCGGGTTTCGAACTCGAGACCTCCCACTAGACACGATAACCTCACAACCAGCTAGGCTGAAATGCTTGGTTTGAAATCACCACATAACAGATAAAATCAGAAAATAGTAAAATCATAATGGTTTTTATTTTAATCAACTAGATTTGAATATTTCTATTTATTAATATAAAGCAGGTAACTGCAAACCATTACAACAACAACAACATCCGAGACTTAATTCGAAAAGAATTTGGGGTCGGCTAACATGAATCGATCTATGATATTGATGCCAAAAAGAGACACAGACAAGGAGGGGAAAAAAGAAGTAAGATAAAACGGATAAAATAAAGATAAATAAATACGTAGTATAAGATAAAAACAACATAAGAATATAAGAAAGATAAAAGAGAAAAATAAAAGAGTATAAAAAAGCTAGAAGATAAAAATAACATAAGAATATAAAAGATAAGAAAGATAAACGACAAAAGAAAAGAGAGGAAATGTAGAAAGAACATCAATCGTTCACACGGATGTGCGCCCTCTACTTTGCTCTCTCCAAAACCACGCTCTCATCCCATCCAAGATAACTGCAAGCCATTAAAAAATATAAAGCATGTGTTTTGAGAAAAAGAATTAAAGTTAAAATTTCATCTCTTTCAAATAATTATCATTAGGTAAAAACTTACTTTCCTTTAGATCGGGTAGACTTTGCTTGTAATAAAAGTTGTCTAACATTTGAGATGTAGTTATGTTTTAGGGTGTAAAATTTAATTAATGATACGCCTACAGTTACTTGCATATGCAACCTCAATCTCCCCATCATTATCCACAATAACAAGATTATAGGTGTGATGTTTAGATGTTACTCCCTTCGTCCCCTTTTAAATGTCCCGGAAGAGGTGACACGAGTTTTAAGAAAAATATGTTTGTGTAGTTGATATTAATAGATAAAGTAAAAATAAAGTAAGAATAAAATAAGAATGATTTTGAGCCACACAAACTTTACCAAATAAGATATGAGACAATTAAATAGTGACATCCCAATATGGTAAAATAGGACATTCAAAAGAGGACGGAGGGAGTACATACTTACATCATACATATATAATACAATTACTTTAGGTGTAGACGTACACCCCTTATATTTGTACACCTTTTAGTTGCCACTCGTACATTAATTCATGTTTGTCAAATTAAACCACCAAAAAACATGTATGCCAACAAATTGCACAAACATAAGTGTACGACAGTGTGTGCAAATTTAGCAACTAGTACACAACTTATGTTTGTGTAGTCCAAATGTAAATATTAATATATTACAAAACCAATCAATTATGTTTTTTATACACGCATAAACATATAGAGAACTAATAGCTCTCGAATTTGAGAGTCGTGCATTATCTAAAACCGAAATGTGCACTGCTATAGATGAAAAATTGCGGAGACATTTTTGCAATTAAAATGATCTGTTTTTGCCGTTGGGAAGTGTTTATTACCTCAATCACAAATATACGACTTTATGAATCAGAATGTACGCTATTCTCAATTTCAAGGAAAAGACATTTCTCACTCGAACCAGACTCTATGTATATGTATATTTTTAAATAACTTTAAAATAGCATATGTATATTTATATATTTCAAAGTAGGGGTGGGCATATTGGTATGGTTTAACCGAATCGAACCGTACCAAATCGAACTAAACCGAACAAAAACCGGACCACATGCAATTTGGTTTGAGTCTGGTAGTATTTCTTTCGAACCGTATTAAATCGAACCGAATCAAAACCGATAAAAACCAAACAAAACCGAACCGAACTAAAGAAAATCAATAAAATCTTCATATATCATAAAAAAATAATAAATCCAAACCGAACCAAACTAACCCGAATAAAACCAAACCAAAAAATATTATGGTTTTTGTTTGATAATAATTCTCCCAACCCGTTCCAAACCGAATCAAACCAAAATCGATAAAAACCGAACCGAAAACCGGTATGCCCTATTTGGGAGGGTGATGCATCATGTGTCAATTTTAATACCTGTCCTGCCCCATAATTTGAAATATAGGGCATGGCGGACTCGTCCAAATATCTCGGGGCAGGGCCGATGTTTAACATCTGTTCAAGCGACTCATATTAGTTTTCTCGAGAGTTTGAGATTGATTTTCGAGACTGCTGAATTAGTATGACAAAATTGGGATTGCCGGGTTAAAGAAAAAATGAAATACTTACGAGTTACTCCATATGATACTACAAAGTACTCCCTCCGGTCCTTAATTAACTTTACACTTTCCTTTTTGGGTCGTCCCATATTAAACTTTACACTTCTTTATTTGCCTTATTTGGAAAACAAATCTACACCAAACAGTGCAAAACAGTGTCAAACAGTGCCAAACAGTGTACTCTACAGTAAAGTCAAATTTATTTTCTTAATATGTGTGAAGTCAAAGTGTAAAGTTTAATAAGGATCGGAGGGAGACTCATTGCGTCTCGTTGCAAGGTTCTCATGAGTACATGACACGATTTTTTAGACAAGTGATGAAATAAAGTAATTCGTGCAATGAAAGTAATTTAGGAAAGAAAACTTAAAAGTAAACATATATAGTGAATAATTAAAGGGAGATAAACAGATGGGATTTATTTCCTATAATGGAATGTGAACTTTTAAATTAAACATCAATTAAAGAAAATGAGAATCTTTCAGATCATTCTTGTTATACACATGTACATTGCTTGTGTATACAGACAACTAGGAAGATTTTGGTATCAAATCATGTCTCTTTTCAAATGAATTGTACACTTTTATGTACAATTTATGTACAGATTTTATGTACACTCTCTTAAAATTTTTGAAGTAAAATAAGACGAGAGTGAGTGGTGACAAGAAAGAAGGGATATATTCAAATGGAAGGAAGGAACACGTTATGCACGTAGTATAAAGCGGCTGGGCGTTCTTGTGTAGCCCACGACTCACTCCACTGCCACAGAAAGTGGGAAAAGGAGAAGAAAAAAAGAGAAGCAACACAGCCAATGTCAGCCTGTAATCTACTCGAGTGCCAATACCAGTAGTGATCAAGAAGCTTTCCATTCCATTTTTGCTACCACACCCACTTATCCTTCCATGCTTGTTATTTGATTTTCACAACCGTGCAGGCCACTATGATCCTGGCAATTTGACTTCTTCACTCCCACAAACGTTTCTTTAGCAATCCTTGTTCTTTGGTTCTTCTTCTAAAATGGCCGCCAATGGAGCATTCCCAATCTCCGTGGCGTCCTTTGTGGAAAATGTTCTTCAACATCATGAGAGCGGATCACGGTCTCTCGATTTTGACGCCCGTCGAGCCGAAGAAGCGGGTATTGTCTCCTTTTCTCCATTTTCGCTTTCAGTTCTAGAACTTTAAATTCTTACTCCCCCAATCACAATCTTGAATGAATTTGTGTCTTTTTTTGTCCCAAAACAAGCGATCATTGATAAGACTTATAGAGTTATAGTATCAGCCACATTTCCCGACAATACCCAGTACAGTCAGTGCATATGTGCATTTATGCACCATACTAAAACTAGGAATCCAGTCGGTTAACGAGTTATATTTTTTCCCCTATACGGTTCTCTTAAAACAATGTAATGTGAACAGCAATGAGGAGATATGAGGCAGCAGCATGGCTGAGAAAGATGGTGGGAGTGGTGGGAGCAAAGGATTTGCCAGGAGAGCCATCTGAGGAAGAACTCAGGCTTGGCTTAAGGAGTGGTATTATTCTATGCAATGTTCTCAATAAAATTCAACCTGGAGTTGTTCCCAAGGTGGGGGAAGATCTCTCTGCTTCGATTTTACTTCTCACAATTAATATTTTTTTTGTAAATGATGATTAAATGAGCCTGATCACAACCCAATCAGGTGGTTGAAAATCCATGTGATGCATCATTGCTTCCTGATGGAGCAGCTTTGTCTGCCTATCAATACTTTGAGAATGTCAGAAATTTTCTGGTGGCCGTGCAAGAACTGGGAATACCCACTTTTGAGGCATCTGATCTTGAACAAGTAAGTAAAGTGTCATTTGAAATTTCTGATCCGTGTAGAAACAAAACATCTTTATGGCCTAATAAATTGGTGATTTATCAGGGCGGGACATCTTCTAGGATTGTCAACTGTGTTTTGGGCCTCAAATCCTACAGTGAATGGAAACGGTCAGGTGGAATTGGTGTTTGGAAATTTGGCGGGAATGTGAAGCCCACAACGTGTTTAAAACAAATCTCCCGCAAAAATCTTGATCCGTTCATGAGCTCTTCGTCAAGGACCATTAATGAGAAACCTGTGAATGGAGAAGGAACTGAGACTGAAACTGAAACTAATAGAACGGTAGTATTTTAGGTTTTTATTGTCAGTTTAGTTTCCCTACACGCATTGCCAGTTTGCCACAATGAATGCCAAGGTTTATTTATTTGCTTATCAATGTTTTAAGAATTTCTTGCAGCCTGACTCTTCTTGGAGCATGCTTGTTCGATCGGTTCTTTTGGATAAGAAGCCTGAAGAGGTTCCTAATGTAAGTGAGGATTTCAATGATCAATTTTCAGCTTGTAATACTTTGGCATCTGTACTGATAAAAAGGGCATGGATTCTATCTTCTGAGTTCTGAGCTATTAAAACAAGTTTTTTGTAATCAGTCAATATGATTGTGATATTTTTCCCTCCATTGTTTGTCGTAGCTTATTGAGTCTGTCCTGAACAAGGTTGTGGAGGAGTTTGACCTTCGCATTGCAAGCCAAATTGAAACGGCAAGTTTTTTTACTTCTATTTTTTGTATCATAGTATCTGCGAATGAGTAGGAGTTCCAACTACTTTAGTGTGTGTGTGTGTGTGCATGCATATTGTATACTCACCTCTCACTTCGTACATAGTCTGATGTACTTCTGAATGGACATGTCCAGCAAAGAAGAGCAACTCTCAAGGATTCAGTTGTTTCTCATGTTCAGAAACCAGTTTCTAAACAACCATCTGGTAATACAAAGGTAATCTTGCATTCTTGCTCACATATTAGTAACTCTTCATATTTAATATGCATTTGTATGTGAATTCAACCGTTCGTACATGGGATACTTATCTTTTGTTGGGTTAAGGTTGAACAAAGAAAGACTACAATAATGAAGAAAGAGGATTTTCTGAAGAACAATAATATCATTGACAAAGAACATCAAAGAAGATGTCTTAAGCACCAGATCATTGTTAACCAACAACAGGAGTGTCTGAAGGTAAAACGTAAAACTCGCTATGCACCACTTTACCCTCTATTTTTTAACACTTTAAATTCAATGTAGGAATTGAAACGAGCTCTTTCATCTACAAAAGCGGGTGTACAGTTCATGCAAATAAAATTTCACGAGGAAATCAAAAACATTGGTAAGTGTTATTGCAGGAGATGTTCCTAACTTGTATTTCAAATTTACATTATCATACATGTACTTCCTCCCATCCTTATTATAAGGCACCCTTGCAAAGGAGTTGATGGTTTCCTTAAAAGACTGTTTTTTCCTCGTAACATTTATTGTTTTTGTCACCTGGTTTTCGCCTCTAATAAAAAAATTGGTTATGCTGAATTTCTTTTGAACTATTTATTTACAAGGCACAATCAAATAAGGCTAAATTGGAAAATGATAATTTAAATAAAATCAAGAATGCTAACTACTTTTCTTGGTTTGTTTAATTTGGTCACATGTGCCTTGGAATAAGGTCCAGACTCCAGAGGGAGCATGTTCCTAACATTCTTCCCTTCTAGGATTCCTTGCCAACTTTTCCTTCCAATACCATGTCTTGCTTTGTAGGCCTGCACATACATGGTTTGGCCCATGCAGCTTCAGGTTATCATAGAGTTCTTGAGGAAAACCTCAAACTTTACAATCAAGTGCAGGATCTTAAAGGTACCGTTGTCATATCTATGAAACTCTTCCCCATGCAAGTTAAATTATCTTCTGCTCTCGAAATGAAAAGGCTGTACTGTTGACTTCCATTCAGGAACCATAAGAGTTTACTGCAGAGTGAGGCCCTTCTTGCCTGGGCAATCAAGTTATATGAGTAGTGCCATAGATCAGATTGAAGATGGTATGATTACAATTAACACCCCATCAAGACATGGGAAAGGACAAAGGTCTTTCAATTTCAACAAAGTTTTTGGACCATCAGTCACTCAAGGTTAGTAGTTGTTAAACAGTTTTTTTTTTCTTTTTTTTTTTTTGTGAAAAGCTTTGATAATTATTACTTTTCTTAATTCTAAATTATTTTCTTTTAACAGGGGAGGTGTTTTCAGACACACAGCCTCTAATTAGATCAGTCCTTGACGGTTACAATGTTTGTATTTTTGCATATGGGCAAACAGGATCAGGGAAAACCTATACCATGGTTGGATATGAAACTACATTTCCCCCCATTTTCTCCTTTTTTTGGAATACCTCATTTTCTCCTTAACTACTGATCTATTGACTTTAATGCCTCTGTCTATATAGACCGGACCTATAGAGCTCACAGAACAAACTCAAGGGGTGAACTACAGGGCCTTGAGCGATTTATTCCTTCTTGCAGAGCAAAGAAAGGACACTTTTCACTATGATGTGTTTGTTCAAATGATTGAGATCTATAATGAGCAAGTTAGGGACCTCCTTGGTTCTGATGGGTTGAACAAAAGATATCCCCAATTCAGAAGCATTTGAATTTAATTTCTGTGCCATGTAAAAATACTTCACATTTCATGTTTTGTTTTAATCCCTGATAATTAAAAAATCTAACCTTTTGCAAACAATTTACATTTGTAGCCAAATCATTTGATGTTTGCATTTTTTATAGTTCTACCCAATGTGCATTTTTGGTCAAAAGTTGGAGTAGATTATAAATATAGAAAGTTCTGGCAAAAGCTTAAACCTTTACAAAGGCTCCATTTTTTCTCTAGTTTTGAGGCTTAAAAATGGTAAGCCTCATAACTACGAAAAAAATGGAGCTTTGTGTAAAGGTTGCAACTTTAGCCAAAAGTAAATGTTGTATTTTCTTAATACAACAATAACAACATCCAAGCCTTAGCTCCAAAAGATTTTGGGTTGTATTTTCTTAATATACAATTCATATTCACATAAGCGCTACGTCCTTTTGAAGTATGAGCTGTTTTTTCTTGACTGGGTTCCTTAATCTGTTATTACATTAGAAATCCGTAGATGCTCTCAGGGACTCACAGTGCCAGATGCTAGTGTGGCCCGTGTGACATCAACTTTAGATGTTATTGATTTGATGAAGATAGGGCAAAGGAATCGTTCAGTAGGGGAAACTGCACTGAATGACCATAGTAGCCGCTCTCACAGGTGATTCTTTTTGTTCTCCTCTCTCTAAACTTTTGAGTGTCCCACATCGGTTAAACATGAAGGACCAAAAAAAGGGCAGCCCTGTGCACGTTGGCGTCCCCGCAAGGCGAGGTCCCCTGGGAGAAGGTCCCACCACAAGGGTGTATAGAGGGCAAAGACTTGAACCTGTGACCGAGAATACCATAACCGGTGTGCCAAGGATCCCCTTTTTAAACATCAATGATTAAATCTCTTAATAAGTGGTGACTGGTGGGAAATCCTAGTGTGTTCTGGGGGGCTATTTTTGGCCCAAACTAATTCTTAAGGTCTTAACGTTAATGCTCTTTTCATACCTTATATATCCACAGTTGCTTAACTGTTCATGTCCACGGGCAAGACCTTACTACTGGAACTGTTCTTCGTGGTTGTATGCATTTGGTTGATCTTGCTGGAAGTGAGAGGGTAGATAAGTCTCAAGTCACTGGGGATAGACTCAGAGAGGCACAACACATTAATAAATCTCTTTCTGCTCTTGGTGACGTCATCTCTGCACTTGTTCAGAAGAATGCACATGTCCCTTACCGTAACAGCAAACTTACACAATTGCTCCAAGACTCCCTTGGTAAGGAAAGAAGGATCTTTTTGGTAGTCATAATGACTAGTTCTGCTTATAAGCAGAATAAGTAGCTTTGGACTTCTTATTTGGCTGGAATCATATGCTTTTTGTTTCAATAGAATCATCATTTTAAGCTAAATGGGCCATGAGATTGTTATTTGATTTAATTGTAAGACGAATGCTGCTTCATTTTGGGGCTTGTATCGTAATGTTTAGGAGGACATGCCAAGACGTTGATGTTTGTCCACATCAGCCCTGAAGCTGATGCTGTTGGAGAAACAATTAGCACCCTTAAATTTGCAGAGAGAGTAGCTGGAGTTGAACTTGGTGCCGCAAGGGTAAACAAAGATTATACAGATGTGAAAGAGCTTAAAGAACAGGTACTACCTTGATTGATTAAAAGAGATGTATATTGGAAATAGAGTGGGAATATTTGAAATGAAGTGATTTGTTTGTTATAAAAATACATTACTGTTATCTTCAGAGTTCAGACTCTAATAAATTAGCAGAGATAAAAATGGTAAATTGATAGAATTTCCCATCACTAGAAGTTGTAATCACATTTGTTAGCTGTGCTTATGGAATTATTATCAATTTTCTGCATCAGATAGCTAGTCTGAAGGCCGCATTAGCAAAGAAAGAAGCAGAACCTATCTCCACACAACATAAGCTTCACAGCAGTCCACATAACAGGAAACCATCAGCTTGCCCAGATAATTTACTAAATGGTAATGAGAGACTGAAAATCTCAAGTCCTCACAGGAAACTGATAGGAGAAGTAGATCACATTGAGGTACTTGTGCTTGACATACTTGCTTCTGAGGCTTTGATCTTTTCAGTCTTTATTCCCTAACAGCCTAACTTGTAGGTTGCTTTAGAATGGTCCTTCTTTAAATTACTTAGAATGCGTCCATGCACCTATAGTGTACATTTGGATCTTGGAGAATAGTAGGGAAATGTAATAGTTGCTTCAGATTTAGGAAAGTTGTTTTCTTATGTTTGGTTTTACCATGGAAACTACAAAGGAAGTTGATATATGATTTTATTTAAATACTATAACTATTTTTACTTTTCTTAGATTTCATATAATATAATATAAATAAATAAATAAATAAATGATGTAAAGATATCTATTTTCCACCTCAAACGTGCTTCCCTTCTAATTTTCATCTATCTTATTCCCAGTTTCTGGGTTCCAACCAGACCCATGCATAGATGATAGATGGAGAGAAAATGAGTATATATTTTCATTTTCTCTTGACTGAGAACTCTTATGATTTGTTTGTAGGGGAACAAGTCTAAATTAATGGAAAAGAGACAAAGCTTTGATCTTGATGAGTTGCTAGGAAATCCCCCGCTCTGGTCATCTGTCAGCAGTCCAAGTGAAAAAAGCTATAGAGGAGACAATAATAATAAGCAGCATGGTAGCTCAGGTGACTGGGTAGACAAAGTGATGGTGAACAAACAAGAGTCGTTGCAAAGAATGGAAAGCGCGTTCGGTGGTTGGCAATCTGATGATGTTTTTTATCAGAAATATCTCACAGATCCCTTCAAACCTCTCCCGAGAAAAACCTGCAATCAATTTGGCTTCACAACCACTGATGATCTGGATGAACTTGATGCCGCAACAAGTGATTCATCCGAACCAGATTTGCTTTGGCAGTTCAACCATTCTAAATTTGGCAACGGTGTAGGGTCAACAACTCCTCCAAGACTAATTATGAAACCGATGAAGAGTCCACAACAACAGCCTAGGACCACCACGTCTAACAAAACGGCACCTTCACCCTCAAGAAAGCCTGGTAGCGGGGTTGCAAGACATTCCATGTTAGCTGAAGTGAACCGTAAAACTGGAAAGAGAAAGTAGAGAGGCTTCTGTAGAGAATGTTTTAAGATTCTTTTATTTGTTCCCTTTGGTTTTTGATTGGGGAGTGGAGAGATACAAAGGTTTGATTGTGCAGAGCTTTTTGGGTGGCACCTCTTTGTCTCGCTGTGATTTCTTTGTTCTCTTTGTTGTGTGTTGCTTACGTACATAGGCCTCAGTGACTATGATAGCCCATCCCACTTGTGTATATATATTCTTTTTGGGTGTTTCCTTGAGTTGAAAGATTAGCAGTGTGCAGAAAGGTAATTACCAGTAGTTTATATACCATGTTTGGAAGACAATGGCATGTAAATTTTGATATACTTTGGTTGAAGTGTGATTTTTTCCTGAACTTTTTTTATTTCGTGTGTTAATATGTTTACCACGGGGACACCATCCATGTGAGACTATCATTGTATCTAGGCTTGGACTCGGGTCGGGCCACCTGGCCCGTGGACCGGCCCGGCCCGCTACTGTGCAGGACCGGGACCGGCCCGGTTCTTGGGTCCGGGTCCGGGTCGGGCCTAGGCCCGGGGGGTAGGGCGGGTCCGGGCTCGGGTCTGAATTTTGGTGAACCGGCCCGGCCGGGTCGGGCCCGGGCCCGGTCCAAATTGATTTTTTTTTATTTTTTTTTCATTTTTGGGCTTCCACCCGGGTTGGGCTTGATGGGTAGGACCGTAGGATGGGTTTGGGGGGGTTTGGGAGGGGGGGGGGGGGGGGTTCGGAAAGCAAAAAAAAAAAAAAAAATCCAACCCGGAGGCCCGGCCCGGCCCGGCCCGGACCCGGTGGCTACCCGGGCCGGTCCCGGGCCCACCATTCTTGAACCGCCGGCCCGGCCGGGTCTAGGCCCGACCCGGACCCGGCCCGGACCCGAGTCCACCCCTAATTGTATCCTCGCTACAATTGTTTAGCATATGCAAGGACAGTACCTTAATGGGATTCCATTCCATTTTGCTGCTTGTCCATCAGTCCATTTTGAAAAGCACTTAAAGGAGCGTCCAATCTGAAGAAATCAAAATGGCCCGTCAGCTCTAGAGGTGCACAGATATAAGCATGCTGGTGGGCAAGACAGCAAATTGACTTGCCACATGATGAAGCAATGCATGTTGTGTCTCATTTTTCTTTACTTTTTATTCAAGATACCGCACCCAGATTAATGATGAAAATGGTGGTGGCCTGGTGGGTTATGCAGCCGCGGCCCGCAGGTACCCATCTCACCGGGGAGGATGGGGCTGGGCGGAGATGAGTATATTTATTGAAAAAAAATTCTAGAAATGAACACATGTTTGTCCCTGATTAATTAATTAAATAAATAAATACATAAATGAATATGATATACAAATATACCCCCTCCGTTCTTCAATACATGTCCGTATGGAGTTCGACACAAGTTTTAAGATGAAAACAATAGGGGTAATGTAAAAGGTGCAGTAGGTTATGTTTAAATGAAAAACTAGAAAAAGGAATGAAAAAGTAGAAAATAGAACGAGATCAAATCTTAAATGATAAAGTATTAACTTAATTATCAAATATTAAAATAATATACCTATAATATCATAGTTATTATCAATGTCTCACCGTAGTATATCCATCAAAACTATTTATCATAATATATTCGAATAACTAGTTTAAATAAATGTGTCATTTTCAATGAAAAACTAAAGGTGAGTCGAAGATAGTAGAGCTTATTTACCAACAGAGATATTTTTCAGTTTTCCAGAAAACTGGAAAAAGGAAAAAAGAAAACGTGTACACCAAAAAACTGTTGGAAAATTGGAGAAAGGAAAACAGAAAAATCCGTTTACCAAATAGTTTTCCAAAACCAAAAAATGAGATATGTCTTTGTTTTCCTTAATGAATTAGAGAAGTGACTTTTACTGGTTTTCCAAAGTTGGAAAATGCATATGCTTCAATGCCGATGCAATGAATTTGCATACTTACGTCTAGTGGTGGATTCAGTCCCGTTCCGGTGTCAGTTTTAGTTCGGTCCGACCAATGACCTGACAATCTCTATCTGGTCTGGTTAGCGACCTGGCGGTCCGGTCCAGTCATCGACCTGGTAGCTCCTATCCATTTTGGTTGACGGCCGAGCAATCTCTGATCTCTGTCTAGTTCGGCCAATGACCTGACGGTCCTGGTCTGTTCGACGACCCGACAGTCTTGTCCGGTCTGGTCCACGATTCGACGGTCCCGATTTGGTCCGATCCATGCCCCAGCAGCCCCTTTCTGGTCTGGTCCACGACCCGACAGTCCCTGTCCAGTCCTGTCGATGACCCGACGGTCCCGATCTGGTACATTCGATGACCCGACGGTCCTTGTCTGTCTGGTTCAATCCACGACCAAGTGGTATCCGTTTGGTCCGGTCAATGGCCAGCCAATCCCGATCCGATCCGGTTTGGTCAAATACTCGGCGGTCCCCGTCCGATCCGGTCAACGACCCGGCGGTCCCTGTATTGTCCGATCAATGACGTGTCAGTCCCCATCCTGTCCGGCCAATGACCCAGCAGTGTGGTCCACGACACAATAGTCTCTACTGTCCAGTCCGGTCGATGACTCAACAATCTCTGCTCGGTTCAATCCACGACCAGTCGGTACCCGTTCGGTCCAGTCGACGGCCAGGTAGTCTCGGTCCGATCTAGTCTGGTCAACAAATCGCCGGTCCCCGTCCGGTCCGGTCAATGACCCAACGGTCCCCGTCCTATCCGATCAACAACCCGGCGGTCCCCTTCTTGTCCCATCAACGACCCGGAGGTCCCTATCCTGTCCGCCCAATGACCCGATGGTCTTTGTTCGGTCCGATCAACAACCGGGCGGTCCTAGGTAATCCCTTCAACGATCTGACGGTCCCTGTTGGGCTAGTCAATGACCCGACGATTTAGTCTCGGTTTTTTGAAATCATTTTTTGAAAGTGAAGAATTTTAAAAGAGTCATTGAGATGTCAACCAATACGGAAATCGGAAAAGAATTCATCAAACCAACCATTGAGATTGTCCGGGACCGACCGGTTTCGGTCCCGACTTTCCTATCGTGGGACCCGATACCGTACTTGGGTTGTACTAGGTTCGGTTCCGGACTGGGATCGTACTTTTGGTCTTCCGTTCGGTCACAAAATAGAGTGAAAACATTTGATGAACATGTTTTCATATTTGAAAATGAAAAATTAAAAAATGAAAACAGAAAATTGAAGATAGAAAAACTGGAAAATGAATACAGTAAATTGGAGAATAGAAAACAGAAATAGAATACTGGAAAATATCTCTATTAGTAAACAAGCCCACATTCTGTGTGTACTCCCTGAGTCCCGCAAAATATTTCAAAGTTTCCTTTTTGGGCTCTCCCAAAAAATAGTTTTCATTTACCTTTTTGGAAGGTTTTGTGTGACTCACATTCATTTACCATTTTCTTACTCAACCACAACCATACATTTTCATTGTATTCTCACTTTCTTCAAATCTGGTCCAAATCAACGTGGGAACTATTTTAGGCAAATTATAAGGTATACCCGGGTGTACCATGTGAATGGTACACCCGGATGTTTTGTAATTGGTTAGAACACTTAGGGAGTAATTAGGTGCTTCTTTACTCTCTTTTCCTCATGTCTGCATCGTTTTTGTTTTTCTTTTCTTATACCGTTTTCTTTCTCCACCTATAATTTTGAGCTTAGCTTCTTTTTCCTCATGTCTGTAGTACTATATACGTTCTATTTTAATTACAACGTTGAACTTTTTGCACTATTCACATATTCTATTTTGACTATATTTTATTTATTAATGTCTTACACATTAAATTTTTTAAAAATATTTGTAAATTCCTCTCATTGTAAATTTTCAAAATCTGAATTTATTTTTATTTTTTACTAATAAGGAATGAAAGATATTAGTGATCAAACTTGTGCGTTGGCAAGCGTGAAAAGTAGAGTGTTGCAATTAAAAAAGAACGGAGGAAATATATTCTTTACTACTGTAACTTTTTCTCTACTTCATGCTATTGTTTTAAGGAAACATAATTTAAATATCCCAAAGTTTGAAGTGTGTGACCTAAGTATCCCAAACTTGCATGTGTAATATACATACCCCAAACTTTATGTAAAAAGATGTGTTAGCATCATGACCATATATTTTTCATAAATGTAATTTTATGGTGTTAAGTACATAATTTTAAATACATAAATGAAGTTATAGAATGGTAATTATTGCCTTCTAACAAGGCTTAAGGTATTTAAAATTAAATAATTATTCCATTAAATTTGTATTTGTAAAAAACATATAATCGTGGTGCGAAAATAACTTTTTATATAAAATTTGGGGTATACTACGTATATATTACATATGCAAGTTTGGGGTACACACCTCACATCCCATTAAAGTTTGGGGTATTTAAATGATTTTTTCCCATGTTTTAAAAAGTCATGTTGAATGAGAATTTAATAAAAAGACATTCTTCTCTCACTCTTCAATTAAAAGCTCCAAATCTTCTAAATAATTATGAGTATATTGTTTAAATTAAATATACATTAATATAATTCTATAGAATGTGCTCAATTATAGAAAAATAATTTTATTAATTTGATTTGTAATCAATATATTACATGTGTGAATAATACAAATGAATTTTATGTTATAATTAAGTGAGTATATTAATACTTAATTACATTGGTTGGAATAAGTTTATTAAATATCATGTGTTAATTATTTTAGGATTATGTGCTAATTACCAACATGAGTTTTGTGTTATACTAAAATGAGTATAGTGTTTAAATAAATGTGTATGAGTAAGCATTATACAAAAACACGATTAAATTTGTAATTCAAGAATAACAAATTAAAAATTATTTTAAAATAAAATTATTATATTTCTCATTGTTATACATAAGGATTGGTTAGTGAATTGTTTATTATATGTGCATGTTATAGAATCAGGTTTATGTTAAACTCATTGGGATACAACAATTAAAAGAAATGAGCATACCCAAATGAATATTTGAGCACATTAGAGATTTTAAATGAGCTTTTGAATTTTGGGATGCTCTATTATCTTGTAAGTTATGTATATTGATTCGGTACTAGAATTATGTTCATTTTAAAATGTTATATCAATTTTAAAATGTATACGCGACCAGATCACAGCTTGCTCACATAATTTTATTGCCAATAATAGAAAACACAATACTCAATAAAGATGTCTTGATACTCATCAAATGTGCTTTTGAAATTTTTGTATTTGATTGCAAAGTTCCAATGCTCAATACACATAGAGGCCGTTTGGCAACCCTCATTTTCGGCTTATCAGGCTTATCAACCAACTTTTTTACCAAACACGTAAATTTTGCTTTCGTGCGCTCAATTGTGTAATAAGCCGAAAAAGTAAG